GGAGAGGAGGGAGGAGGAGGTCCCCAGAGAGGAGGAGGTCGCCGGAAAGGAGGAGGAGGTCGCCGGAGAGGAGGAGGGTAGTATGGTGGAGGAGAGAAGGGAAGATGGAGTGGAGGAGAGGAGGAGATGGAGTCGAGGAGAGGAGGAGATGGAGTGGAGGAGAGGTGGAGTGGAGAAGGTGCGCCCAGCCATATATACGACATAGTAATGGCGCACCGTGGGCAGGTGCGCCATTACTAACTTTTTTTTTTTTGATTTATTTTGAATTTTGAAGGCGGAAAGATACTAATGGCGCACCATGGGCAGGTGCGCCATTAATAATTTTATTTTTATTTTTTGACTTATTTTGAATTTTGAAGGCGGAAGATACTAATGGCGCACCATGGGCAGGTGCACCATTAGTAAGTTTGAATCTTTTTGCCTCTCCAGCTCTTAAAAGCCCCGTATCTTTTTTTCTGTTAGGTTTTTGAGGATTTTGAAAATGTTTAACAAAGTTCCCCGGTTAAATTCGGATGTAACTTTTCGAGTAGATGATTTTTCATATAAAAAACTTTTTCATCCGAGTTCGTACGCAAAAGTTATGCCCACTTTTACAAATTCTCGAGAGATTTTGCAAAAAAGTCGAAAATTTATGTTTGTAAATTTTGCTAACAACTAGACCACATATCACATGGGAATCTTATTTTATTTTATTTTTTTGACATATCTATCATTTTCTTTTATTTTTTTTGAAACTGAAAAGGCAGCTAGGGGGAGTGCATTCGGGCGAATGTTTGGGCCAAGTTACTAATGGCGCACCGTGGCATGATACGCCATTACTAGTTCAACTAGTAATGTGAACTAGTAATGGCACACCACTAGTTTTGATTTTTTTAATTTTTTTACTAATGGCGCATCGTGGATGTGGTGCGCCATTACTAGTTCAACTAGTAATGGCGCACCACTCCCACGGTGCGCCATTAGTAGTTTTGAATTTTTTTTACTAATGGCGCATCGTGGACGTGGTGCGTCATTAGTATTTGCACACTAATGACGCACCAACACATGGCGAACCATTAGTATATAGTAATGGCGCACCACATGTCTGGTGCGTCATTAGTGTCAATTCCATCTATAGCCCTTTTCCTAGTAGTGACATGCTCATGAAATATATTGGGTGGTAAGCCTTTAGTAAGCGGATCCGCAAGCATATGTGTCGTACTGATATGCTTAATATTAATAGTTTGATCCTGGATTCTATGTTGAACAACATGGTACTTTAGGTCAATGTGCCTGGCAGCAGCACTTGACTTGTTGTTATTCGCATAGAAAATTGCGGGTTCATTATCGCAGTATAATGTCAGTGGTTTGGAAATGCTGTCAACCACTTTAAGTCCGGGAAGGAAATTCTTTAGGAATACAGCCTGCCCGGTGGCCTCAAAACATGCTAGATATTCTGCCATCATCGTAGATGAGGCAACTATCTTTTGCTTGGAGCTTTTCCACGATATTGCTCCTCCAGCGAGTGTGAATATATAACCTGACGTGGATTTCATACTATCCACACACCCGGCAAGGTCAGAGTCTGAATAACCAATAACTTCCAGGTTATCGGACTTTCTATATGTAAGCATGAAATTTTTAGTACCTTGCATATAACGCAAGACTTTCTTTGCGGCCTTCCAGTGGTCCGGTCCTGGATTAGATTGAAATCTGCCAAGCATCCCGATTACAAAAGCTAAGTCAGGGCGTGTACATACTTGAGCATACATGATGCTTCCGACAGCTGAAGCATAAGGAACCGACTTCATCTGATCAGTTTCATTTTGGTTCCTCGGACATTGGAATGTCCCAAACTTATCGCCCTTAACTATGGGGGCAGGTGAGGAAGAGCACTTATGCATATTGAATTCCTTTAGTACTCTCTCAAAGTATGCCTTTTGCGATAGTCCTAATGTTCCTTTGGACCTATCTCGATGAATCTCGATGCCAAGGACATACGAGGCTTCACCGAGATCCTTCATGTCAAATTTTGAGGACAGAAATCTCTTGGTCTCATGCAACATATCTTTATCGCCGCAAGCCAATAGAATATCATCCACATATAGGACTAAAAATGTGAACCTACTGCCTTTAAATTTAACATATATGCAGTTGTCCACTTCATTCTCTTTAAAACCAAAAGTTCTAATAATCTCATCGAACTTGCCTTGAAGCTTGCCTCAAGCCATATATGGATTTCTTTAAACGACATGCCATGTGTTCTTTTCCTTCCACGACAAAACCTTCAGGTTGAGTCATGCAAACTTCTTCTTTTAAGTCACCATTCAGAAATGCCGTCTTGACATCCATTTGATGCAGCTCCAAATCATAATGAGCTACAAGTGCCATGACAATTCTGAAAGAATCTTTGGATGACACAGGCGAGAAGGTCTCCTTATAATCGATTCCTTCTCTCTGCGTAAAACCCTTTGCTACAAGTCTCGCTTTGAACCTTTCGACGTTCCCTTTGGAATCATATTTGGTTTTGTAGACCCACTTGCAGCCTACCCTTTTGGCTCCATCAGGAACTTCTACTAAGTCCCAAACATCATTCGAGCTCATAGATTTCAATTCGTCTTCCATGGCTACCAACCATTTGGACGAGTCTTCACTTTTAGTGGCTTCTT